AGCATTGATTCTTAAGACTGCTAAATAGTAATATATTCTGACAGTTTCATAATGTTAAACTAAACTTTTATTTTGACGGGTTGCCATGAAGAACTTGCAGCTGCTGTGTATGTGATATGAAGGTAGTTTTCTCAAATGAAACGGTGAAATGCTAATGAAGTGACTCTCAGAGCAGCTGGAGATTACATTCGTGCTCATATCATCATATAGTGAGACGGCAGAAGTTGAAAACACCACGAGCGTCATCCGCGTTTTAGTATGTGTGTAGTAAACAAAACAGTGCGCCGCGCCATCCGCCATTCATTCATTGCGGAAATCATGACGCCTTATGCGTGATATCAAATACTTCCGCAGATTTATAGTATTACTATAGCATTTCACCTGAGCATTGCAAGGTAAATAAAGGTGACATCTAATGGAGAAGACTAATGATGAGATTCACGTTAATCAGATTTTGTTTTAAATGTGTGCTGAAATAAATACCGGAAAAGATCGATTTGCGGCTTTTGAGAATCGATATTGAATCGGCGCCATTTTAAAAAACGATTAATCGAAAAATTTATTTTTTTGCCCAGCCCTAATGGAAAGGATGTACTTTTAAGCAGCTGCTATTGGATACTTCCAACTACTTTTGAGTTGAGAAGAAACAATCCTATGATTCAGCCAAACGAAGGCAGTACGTGTGTCAAGGAAACAACATGATGAGTCACTTCAGGAGGCCACAACAAAATCCATGCCGCCTAATGACCCTTTCCTGTAGCAACTTGAAACTGAAGCAGGTACCTCACTTTACATGGAACCCAACACACACTGACCTAAGTACCTCAGTGATTTATTAATGGGCCACAGTGGTTATTTTAACAAAGGGCCACTAGAACATTACCAGACTTACAACTAGGGATACCGCTATTACTACATGATATTTTTTTCTGCAACATTATCCAATTTGCCGATTTCCAATTTGACCAATTCAAAACTGAACTTATCAGTTTCAGACAAAATAGTTTTGGAGGGTCAAAACAGTGACTTTAAATAAGCACTTCTCAGATTATGCTTTTTTCCTGCTTATTTCATGCACAATGTGGATAAGCTACAACATGTAAACATGTCAAGAGCATGGATGCACTTTGCTAGCAAAAATGTCGATAGATTGCCAAATTTATTTGGCTGAAATCAGTGATGGCGCTACACCGGGGCTAGGGGGGGCTATAGCCCCGTCAGAATTTTGAATAGCCCCGGTTTACTCACGTCATCAATATAATTTATTTTCTTAGCCCCCCCCTAGCACTGGTAGAGAAAAAATTCTGGCGCCGTGCCTGGCTGAAATATCGAGAGGCAGCTTTTTGCAAAGAACTTTAATTTATCAACAGCATACAGAAGCATACCCAAATATACAAATTTAATTACCAAAGGTTTTTGGTTTCAGTTTTCGGCTAAATGAAGTTGAGACAGTCTGATCAAAGACTAAACTTTGACAAGGTTCCACTCAAAATATCACTCTTCTATTAGCCTAATACAAATGAGAAAATGTTTGACACAAACATACAGACACCAGTTCTACAACAGTGTGAAATATAAAAACAGCTGCACAACACCTGCAAAATTTCACTTCCTGGCACATGGGTGCGTGCTCAGCGCAGCCTGCTTGAAGTACGAAAAATAAATACTTGTCATGACAACCTCACATACCACAGTGAGTCCATGAACACAACAAGATCCACCCAAAATTTAGCTGAGCCAGATCTGTACTGGGAACAAGCTATGGATTCTTATGGCATCGATCATGCCGACAGAAACCGGGGACAAATGGAAATCAGAAGCACACAATGCCCTTTTCCCCCACTTTGGGATGCAAACATGTTCTGAACGCTACAGATATAGGCCACAATGTGGGGCTTTTATCAAAAAGCAATCACAGCAATATCTGACATGCAAAGACAGCAATATATAAGAGTATTTTGATGAAAGTTTGATTAAATAATTAACAATTAGGTTTAACAAAATTCTTGAACACTAATTCAGTTATCCATAAGCACTTGTTTGTTTATAGAACAAAATATGCACTTTATAAAACTAAAGCACAACAAATAGAAGGGGAAGATGTTAAATTAACACTTTATATTACAATGATAATGTTAAAAAAAAACATTACTTGTGACTAATTAATTACAATAGCAAACAAAGCACAATTACAAACCACTCAAAATAATTGTACATGTTGTTTGTTAAAATTACTCAGTACTTA